CTCCCTACCCTCTTTGCTGCCAAGCCCATGGTCAGGAGGTAGCTGCAAAGAGGTTAGCACTTTGCCCTGGTCCACAGAGGTACCACCAGACTCCATCTTCCCTGAGTGGCACCTTTGATATCAGAGGCAACCTTGCTTCCAAGAGCCATGGAGGCAGATACAGTTGTGGTATGTTCATCTTGATGGTTCTCAGGTCTTACAAAGATAAACGGCTTTAGCCAGCTGAGACAGGAGTGGGTCAAAAGGCAGCCTAACAACAGAGGGATCAGGACACCATGCATGTCTCCCAGCCAGGCAAAAAGCAGGCAGGGAGAAGGGCTGGCGAGTGGTACGGACGGGGAAGAACAGATGGAGCATAAATAATCTGGCAGCCTGCAAACAACACGGCGACTTGTGGGTTATTACAGCGCAACGTGCGGCGCCGGCAGTGCAAGAAGGGGCTGGGGATTGTGTGTGTTGGGATTTGGCTTCCAAGTGAAACCAAAGGCAAGCACGTTTTAAACTACTGCATCAGCACGTGTCCATCTATTAGAAGGGCTGAAGACAGAAAAAACCTGTTGGAATTCAAGTCGACTCATACAGGCAGGTCAGGATTGTCTCTGAGCAGAAAGCAACCCCTGGGTTTCTCCACCTTGCACTTCAACTCCTTTGAATAGCAAGTAATTCCAGAAAACACACTATAACATCCAAAGGATTTCTTAACTCTTGATAAATCAAAGAATGGTTTGGGTTAGAAGGGACCTTCAAGATCATCTAGTTACAACACTCTTACCATGGGCAGGGACACCTCCCACTAGACCAAGTTGCTCTGAGCCCTATCCAACCTGTCCTTGAACACCTCCAGGGATGGGGCAGCCCCAGCTTCTCTGGGCAACCTGGTCCAGTGTCTCACCACTCTCCAAGAAATAATTTCTTCCAAAGATCTAACCTAAGTCTACCCTCTTACACCTTGAAAACACTACCCCTCATCCTGTCACTCCATGCCCTTGTAAAAAGTCCCTCCCCAGCTTTCCTGTAGCCCTTGCAGATACTAGAAGGCTGCTATAAGATCTCTTGGCAGCCTTCTCTCCAGGCCAACCAACCTCAACTGTCTCAGCCTTTCCTCACAGCAGAGGTACTCCAGCCTTTTGATCATCTTCATGTCACTCCACTGGACTCAATTCAACAGTTCCCTGCCCTTCCTGTGTTGGGGGCTCCAGAACTGGACCCAGCGCTGCAGGGAAGTCTCACAAGTGTGGAGTAGAGGGGCAGGATCATCTTGCCAGATCTGCTGGCCATGCTTCTTTTGATGCAGCCCAGGACATGGCTGGTTTCTGGGCTGCAAGCACACATGACCAGCTTTTAATACCTCCAAGTCCTCCTCCTCAGGGCTGCTGATAGACCCATAAGACCCTTCTTGTACTACAAATGGGAATCTGCTCTCCCGGCTCTAGCACCTGGGACCAGGTTGATGGCACATTAGTGACACTGCCCACAGTCATCCACAGCCCTAAGGATAGCAGTAATTTAAATCATAATCTAGCCAAATGTGCACCTGCTCACCTCAGGGACTGCTTATGTCTGTAGAGC